TGCCTCATTCTATAGTTATTTGTAGAGTTTTTTTTATAATGAACTGAGGTGGTGTTTGGTTTAGCTCTTTTCATCATTTTCCCATCTATATGAAGTAAGGATTTTAGAAAAGCAACGTTTGTTTCAACAGATTTTCTCCAAATCTCCATCTATGTAATTTCCCCATCTTTCCCAACTTTCTGTGAGAAACCAATGTTTCTGCACTGTTTAGAATCCAAAATTGAGGGTGGAATTTTATGAAAAACTGGGTATGCTACTGTTGACACATTTCTTGGACACCCATTATACCCTCCTCGATGATTTATCAGCTGCTGGGTATGAACTAACAAAACAGGGAAAGAAAAAATACATATTTAGAGTAATGCACATGATTCAATTAAAAAATAAAAAATAGTAATGAAAGAGTAAAGAAAAGGAACCTGAGGGTGTGAAATGAGAGCGGGGTGATGATAGAGTGATTGTTGCATCATCGCATGTTGCATTAATCTCTGTTGCTGTTGGTGTTGCTCTATCTTCAACTTTAAGGGCGATTGTGTTGATGATGGGAACGAAAAGCTTTGACTATTGAGATTAGGGTTGCAGTAGCCAGTAGACAAGAGAATAAATAACCTAACTAATTGATAGATGAGAAAAATAAAATTAAAGCAAAATAAAAAACAAAAAAAAAAAGAGCAGGAGAAGCCCTCGAGAGGAGAGGGTTGAGCAAATAAGAAGGAAGATGATCGATGAATTGATGATATTGATACAGAGGAATATGGTTAAATGTGAAGTAGCATGCCCCGTAAAAATATTGTAAAAATAGGGTTATTTTTGTAAACATACCTAATTTCTCCATCTATATTTTACTTACAATCAAACATAGATTTTTAAAAAGTTACTTAATTTTTCTGGTAATTTTTTTTCCAACCAAACAATATTTTTTTACATTTATCTACCTATCTCACTTTCCTTCCATTTCCCTATATATCACATTTTCCTATTATTCATAAAATTTACCCTAAACCAAACACCCCTGAGAATATAATAAATCTTGCACGTTGTGTTTATCAATCATATAGCTTACCATAAAACACAACTCTTATTTCATATCATTTTACTGATATCATATAGTAGTAAAGATTAACTGCTATTGACAACTTTGATTAGCATTTCAACTAAGCTTTAAGTCTTTGAGACTTGGGCATGATATTAACTAGGGGTGTAAAATAAACTAGTCGACTTGTTAGGGAGGAGCCTATTGACTAGTCTGCTAATTTGATATGTCCTAATTACGTTCATTTTAAAAATAATACAGATTTAAACTCGTTAAAAAACTTTTTTATAAATTAGTCCACGCGTTTATTTAAAAAGTCTAATCTCTGAGCCTTCAAGCTCCATTTATATTTTTTAATAAATAATATTGTATTAATTTTTAATAAAATAATATTTTATTAATTTTTAACAAAATAATATTTTATTAATTTTTAACCAAATAATATTTTATTATTTTTAATAAAATAATATTTAATTATTGTGTGGCTTCAATTATTGTACTATTTCGACTTTCCATAAACTCGAACAAACAAAAGAAACAAAATATTCATAACTTATATTTTTTAGAATATTTGATATGACAGACCAAGTTTTGTATTTTTTAAAAGGGAAAAAAATATCTAATGTTATTTTAGATAACTTTGTTTAATGTTTACCGAAACGACGTCATTTTAGAAATGAAAAAAATGATAAAGACAATTATAATCTTGAAATAAATTAAAATTATAAACACACCATAATTTTTACATCAAAATGATGTCGTTTCGATGAACATTAAATAAAGTTATCTAAAATAACTTTAGAAAAAATGAACCATTTTTTAAAACAAATCAGGTCAAATTTATAATTTAAGTCAAACTAAACTTAAAAATATTTTAAATAAGCTTAGTCGATTTAAGCTAAAATGAGACTCATTTACTCCCCTAATGTTAATGTTGAAAGTTAGAACTTCAACCAATCAGGCCATGTAGTTTTAACAATTTGTACAGAACAATATGGGATGAAAAATCGAAGCGCCATCGCAGTGTCATCCCTAAAACGAAATCAACGACTCCATATTCGAATGTCTTCCTACGAAGTCTGTTGTGACATCTCTGAGCGTTTTTTGACACTTGTAGCAATTAACATGAAATATTCTTTTCGATCATTAAAAAACATAAAAAACTTGTAAGGCGATTTTCCCCCATTAGGTTTTATTTCTAGGGTATATTTGGTATATAGTATAGGATAAAATATGATAATATAAGACCTGATAATATAAGATCTGATTATATAAGACCTGATTAAATTTTAATACTATCTAGCATTTGACATGATATTGTATAAGATAATATATTGTATAAGATTAAATTATCTAATGTTTGGTAATACACTATATAATACTAAATAAGATAAAAATAAATAATTTTGTCAAAATTATCTTTTAAGAATGAATTTATATAATTCTCCTAAATATATCAGATGATATTAATTTTTATGGAAATTTGTTAATCAGTGTATCCAAAAAATATAATAATTTTTATAAAAATAAAAATCTCCAATATTTTTAAAATTTATATATTGAAAAATTATTTTTTATTTTAATATATTAATATTAAAATAATATAGTGATTTTTAAGAATTACATGGATTAATACATCAATCCCTTATCAGGCCTAATCATACCCTTCTAGGCCTGATTAAGTTATACATCATTTTGATGTATAAAGGAGTCCTGTTGTATAAACTTATACTATACTGGTCACCTATGTAGCACCGATACGACAAAAAAATATGAATTTCGACACGTTGGGACACATTTTAATATTAAATAATATTTTTAATTTATATATTGTATATTTCATTTAATATTCACTAATTTTAATAAAAAAATGAAACTAAATTAATAATACCTATAATCACGTTATAAAGGTGGAAGCTTTAATAAAAAAAACAGGAACTGAGATAAGAGAGAGATAATATCAGATAGAGAGATCAAATCAAATTAGAGAGAGAAAGATCAGAGAGAAGGAGATACAACAAGAGCGTAATAGGAATTGACAACAATGATACTGAGATGATCTCTTATCTACTTAAGAAAAAATAAAATAAAATTGATATAATCAGGTGGAAGCTTTATTAATATATTTCAATTATTTATTTTTTTATTTTTTTAAATAATTTTTTTTTGTGAAAATGCCATTTGACCGTGTCGGGACGTGTCAGACACAGTCAAATTCGCGTGTCGAAATGATCAACGTGTCGGGAATGTTGACCGCGTGTCGGGAATGTTGACCGCGTGTCGGACACGACACTCCCTGTTTTTTGGAATATTCGTGCTTCCTTGATGGTCACACCAAACAACTAAAAATGTCATAACATATAGTATAAACTTATACTATTAAGCTTTATACATCACACCAAACATGCCCCTACAAACGCTTGTAATTTTGAAAATAGTTGGAAATAATGGAATTCTAAACCAGCTTTGTTAATGCCCAACCCATATTTTTTTTTGTCCATAGTCCTTTCTAATTTGTATCTTCAACCGGTAAAACTTCTATAGATCCATATTTTCAATACCCGAGTTTTTGGTTTTGGCTAGAATAATTCGTTTATATAGCTTGTTACCAAAAGTCAAAAACAATTTTGCACTATTTTATACACCGAGCAACAACGCTCCTTCAAAACATGGAAATGTTATAAACATCGCATCACTGGCTTCAGCGAATGGAGTTTGTTACTGGTTATGTAGTATAGCTTCTCTACCATTTTGTCATTCCATACAGGACATCAATTTCCAATTAATTCAACGCGACTTGAGATTTAGCCAGTTAAATTGACAACCTCGCTCTCAAAGGGTAGTTAAATTGATTGCTCTATTTAATCCCAAATAGTGAGACCACCTCTGTTGTCTAAGCAACGAGAGCATATCAACCTGAGTCTTGGGCTAAGCTGTTCAATTTCTATGATTGCATAGGTTATCAACAAATTAAGGAGCTGAGGTTCAATGTAAGCTGTAAGCATGAGGAGAACTGGTACGATTTAGTACTGATACAACTCGGAAAGCTACACAGCAAATGAGAAGGGATCTCAGCCACCATACATAACCATTGAGGAGCTTAGAAGCCACACTATTGGATATGGAACCAAAAGGAGAGAGACAGAAAGGCCAACAATAAAGATAGGAAGTAGAAAAATACTTTCCGTTAAGGGATACCAAAGTCCAAACAAGAAGAGGAAGATATTAATGCCATTTTTGAAAATGCCACGCGAACAATATTTTTTATAAAACTGTCATGTGTCCAATCTCGCTACCAATCATAGTAAACTTGATTAGATCACGTGACATATTCTTATTAGCGTACCAAGTTCCCTGCCAGTCGTAACGAACTTCGTAGCCTTCGTTCTTATTAGTGCACATTGTACAAGAAAAAAGTTGAATAAACTAAATTCGCTATAACTAGAAGCGAACTTGGTACGCTAATGGGAACGTGCCACGTGGACTAATCAAGTTCGTTAACAGTCATAGCGAACTTGGACGTCATAGCGAATTTGAACACATAACAATCTGGTACAAAATATTGTTGGCGTGGTATTTAGACAAATTTTTTTAAAAAAAAAATATGACAATTTGGTCAATGTTCCAAGACATTAAGATCAAGATGAGGAACCAGAATATTTAATTAACATATTTATGGTACTCATCAGCGTAATGATGACAACTGTAAATTAGACCCTTACAAGGACGTCTTGGGTTCCATTTGTTGATCCTTATGATACGTGTCCCTGAATAACTACTAACACTTCCTTACTCTCATCCACCCAAAAGCAACTTTTGTTACAACAAGTACATGAAGATTTTATGACAAGCCTAGGAGGCTAGAAAATAATGTAATGGATAAATAAATCTAAACACACAACAGTAGTTTTTGTAAGTATGGAGTGCAGAATAATATAATGTCGCAAAAAGGAAGTGTGGGTTGAAAGAGAATAAGAATGGCTTAAATGTATTTTCTCACTCATAAAAGCTTGCTATTGATCAAATTTGATGAATAATAACCGTATACAGAAAACCCCTAATAGCTTTGCTCAAAAGCATAATGAAGAAACAACTGGAAAGATTTTAAATTAAAATTAAAAAAAGTTCTAATCAATTAGCTAAACAACACTGAAACAGCATTAAAACACAAAAGAGAGTAAAGCACAACTCCAAAGCAAAAGCTCGATCATTCACCTTTACCGTCACAAAATTACAGATCTTGCACACTCAAACCTGCAAAAGTGAATCATAAATGTGAGTCGCATGACATAAACTCATATGTCCAAATCTTTCTAGTTTTTGAATATTACAAGATAAGAATAACAAATCAGCAAGAATATTCCTCAAAAAACTAACCAGGAGGAAGTGATTGCTTCAACTTATCAGCCTTCTCAGGATCAAACACACAAAGAGTGTATAGATACTTTGAGCATCGCACCTTGAACTTCACTACATCCCTGCTCCTCTTGATTTTCACAGAGCGTGCATCCTTCCTCCGCGCTGTGAGTAGGAAATCCTTAATCTCATGAATTTGCTTCGGCTTCATAAAAATATACAACAGATACAAAGTAGTTGAGAGACGAGTACCAACCATCATATCACAACGCACAAACGCGAATTCAAGAAAAAGAAAAAAAGATAAAATATAAACAAAACATATCTTAGAAACTTTAAAATGAAGATTACTTATTGCACAACATAAATGTGGTGAGGGTTAAAAATAGAGCGCATTTCATTTACATGAAGAATCGATGAAGACAGAGAGAGATCTAGAAGTACCATTGTTGGCTTCACTGTTATTCCCTCCAAAGAAGAATCGGCACACGCTCGCACCGCGAAGTTGTGAATTTAGGGTTCATAAACTAAACCCTTAGACTATGAATACCCCTAAATACTAATTAAATGACGCTACTATCCTTCCTTCGGCCCAGCCCTTTACTGCTCACAAAGTAAGCCCATTTAATAATTCATATGGGCTTTGTGTCTGTGTGACAAAATAGGTGGCTCTCCACGTGTTTGAGTGATATCATTATCCCTTCTTTACGTAAATAATACTAAATTTTATTATTATTTTTTTTTTGTATTTTTGTTTTTCATAACATAAGAAAAGGAATATAAGATGATCTAAACACGTTGCTGAACTCAGATACCCCGACACGTGATTTTTCAAAAAAATTGCGTGTCGGACACATGTCCGACATGGACATGCTCTGACACGCGGTCAATATTTTGAGAAACGTGTCAACTCTCCGACACGTTTTTTTGACACGCAGTTAATTTTTTTCGACATGTGGTCAACGCTTCGACATGTTTTTTTTTTAATTTTAATTTATTAACTAAAAATAAAAAAAATTATTTATAAATCAATTTTTTTCTATTATGAAATTTGATATAAAAAATTAACAAGGTACAATTTTTTTTTATATTTATGTTATGAAATTTGAATATTTGATTAGTTATATGACTTATTATGGACTGTTATATATATTAAATATAAATTATATTATATATATTAAAAATATTATTTAATATCAAAACGTGTCCTAACGTGTCGAAATATGCCATTTTTTAGAATTAATGTGTCGGCGTGTCGTGTGGTGTCCCGTGTCAGTGTCCGTGCGTCGTAGTTGCTGAACACGTAATTTTATCAAGTAATTATTTATTTAATCTTATAAAAAATAGGTTGATTTGTGTGTGTGTGTGTGTATATATATAGCAAATTATTTCAAGTGTTTTATTCATGTATAGTCTAGGTTAGGATTAGGCTTAGCAAAAATGATAAAATGAGTCGGGTTAGATTAGGGAAAATGAGTTAGTAACTCGAGTTAGTCCGACTCGTTTCAGCTCGAAAAAAATCGAGTCAACCCACGGGTCAAACAGGTTGGTTCGCGGGTTATGGTTTTTTTAATATAAAAGTATAAAAATTATTGAAGGTAAAATGGAAAGCTAAAACCTAAAATCCAAATTCCAAAGACCCAAACGAAAATACCCTGCAGCCGCCAATAAGTCCAAAATCGTGTCTTAAGGACCTTTTTTTATAGTATGTGTGACAATGTGAATGTGATGTCATTTGCCAATAAGTCCAAGTCCAAATGCAAAAGGAATTTTCTATGGTTTATCTGTATAATGTCTTTGTATTGAATGAATTAATAATTTAGAAAAAAATTAAAAGTTATAACGTCAATGAAATTTTATTTTTGTTTCCATTTTTTCGAGCCAACCCGCGAGCCAACTCTAACCCGACTCGGGTCGGGTTGAGTTTTCTGGCTCGTTTATTTTTTGAGCCAACCCGAACCCGGCTTGTTTTTTTCGAGTTGAACGTGGGTTGGGTCGGGTTGAGCCATTTTGCCAACCCTAGTTATGATGTTCATCAACCGATCCAAATCGATATAAATTGCGGTGATTGAACCAAAATATCGATAATCGAAAATTGAAAAATTGAAAATCGAAAAAAAACCGCAAAATTTAATTAGATTGGATTGGTTTTCGGTTTGGTTGGTGAAAACCGATCTAATCCAAACCGACCAATAATTTCCTAATCTTACCATCTACCAACTTGGGCCTTTCCTCAATCATAGCCCACAAACCATATAGCAAAATTCTAAACCCAAAACCAATTAACCCATCAAGTTGGAGAAAGTGGGTTGTGTTTGATCTATGTTATTATTGGGTAAGATACATCATATATTTTTATTGCATGGGTTATTATTGTACAATAACTCCTCTACAGAATGAAATTTTGCATTTCTCCATATCTCAGGCAATCACATTATAAACTTTTTGATGGAGGTGTGGTAATTCAACTTTTTGTTGTACTATATTGAAAATTAGAGTATCTTTTACTTATACTTCTAAATTGCACAATAATCATCATACAAACTTTACAAAGTCAATACATACAAAAGATAAGTTATTTGCATAATAATCATCATACAAATTTTAGACTTTTCAAAAAATCGAAAACCGATCCGATCCAAACTGAATAAAATTGGATTGGATTGGATCAGATTTAAAAAAAATCCAAACCGAATGGATAATTACATAATCAAACCAAAGGAATTGAATCAGATGATTTTTGCTTCCAAAATCGATCCAATCCAGACTGCGAATATAATAACCCTCACTAGTAATTGGGGATTTAATATTGAAGAATAATTAGAAGTAAAAGAAATAAAGTCACCTTTGGTGAAAAAGGAGTTAAAATGACAGTTAAGGGATAAAAATGCGGGTAAACAAAGTTACCCGAAAAGTGAAAGTAAAGTTAGAAATATGACTAGAAAAATATTCTAGTTCATTGGGTAAAGTTTGGTATTGAATGGAGGTGTGTAGATAGATAAGTTGTTACCCAGTTAAAGTAACTTAACCTATTTGACTCTAAAACACAGTAACCTTATTCATTTGTTCTCCGTCCCAATACGCGTCTGTCTCCTTTGTTTTTCATGCTAGGTTTCCTTTTCTTTTTTTTCTTTGATTTCTCCTTCCACACTCAACCAAATTCTTAGGTCCATTACACAAAACTCATAGGAAATCACCCAAGGAATCCATTCCACCACTCTATTTGGGATGATTTTGCTTGTGGAGAAAGTTCTTCCCTTTCCCCAATTTGAATCACTATTCATCAAAGAGGAGAAATTGGAGTTTTGATGGAGCTTTGCTTGGAGGTTGCTCTCGAGGCTTTGCATAAGTGATTAGAGGTAATAAATCTCTATTTCTATGATTTGTTTTCATGATTTAAGTTTGAAAACAATTAGAGTATGTTTTGGTGGAAAAACCATGAGTTTAAAATTTGAATTGATGATGGATTATGGATGTTTAGGAAGTTATAGTATGAATTGAGCATTGTCATGGGTCTAAAGTTGAAAAAATCCCATTGCACCTCCCTCCCTATGTCTCGGCCTTGATAGCGTGATGAGGGTGTGATGTGCAAAATTTTATTCTACGTATTGGGAAGGTTTAATATGTTGGAGTAAGTGGAAATTTGATGGATTAGTGAGAATGCTAAAGTGGGAAAAGTCCTATGTATTATGTCTCTATGTTTCGGCCATAATGTACCATAGAGGAGTTTAATGTTCAAAATTTAATTGGACATAGTGAATATATATACATGTATGTGTAAGTTGCAAATTTAGTGAAAGAAATAAATTGTAAAAAGAAAGGAATCCTTTAATGTCCCTTATAGATTTCGACCTATAGGGTAATTTAGGGAAAGATTTAGTTATATTTTATTTTAATAAAATGAATGATTTTCCAATGTATGTAATGGATGAGTTAAAGAAAGGAAATGACTTAAAAATGGTTGAAAGAAATCTCGGTTCCCTTTAGTTGTACCCACGGCCTTATGAAGAAAAATGGCATGAATTATGTACGTTTTGTGGATTATTCAGTATTTCAGTATATTGGTCCACGAAATAGTATTTCAGTATTTCAGTATTTCCAATGTTATTCAGTATTTCAGTATTTTGTGGATCATGATGTCTGATAATTTATTTTGTATATGGCATGTATACGTTTTGTACATGTCTTTCAGTATGATGCATGTACATTTGTGTATTCAGGCATGTTGATATGACGATGTAGTATTGAGTTATGTTTACGTGTTGGATTGCATGCTGTTAGATATAGTGGCACAGAGCCAAGTTATGCATGCGCCCATGGATGGGTATGATTATATTTGGATGTCTGGTACTTCTGAATTTATATGCTGTATAAACTGTCTATCAGGAACTCTTGAGAGTGAGATTGGAAAATTCCCAGTTGTCCGATTTACAGAGGTTACTCTGTCCGATTTTCGTCTCAGCCGAATAAGAATTAAATTAGAAAAAGAAAAAGTTAGCTCGTATTTTTGTAAGTTAAGTCTTCCGCTGTTTCTGTTTGTATCATATGCATGTTAATTGAACCGGCTCGAGACAAGGATGTTATAACAAACACCCTTAACAAGCATGACTTATCCTATTGCGGGAGCCACAAATACCTCAATCATTAATAGAACTCGAATCTCGTCTTAGTTATTGTTTTACTTTATCTAATTCATGCATGTTTTATTCTTCTTGGAAATAATTTATACTTTATGTGGTGATAGTGAGGAGGAATGGATCCTCTCATGTGGAAAAGTGGTCATGTGGTCATGTTATTTAATCATAATCACTCATTTAAAAATTATACACTTTTCTCTCTCTTATCTCATCACCGATGAGAGTTTGTGATCAAATAATATGAGCACATGATCGCTTTTTCACATGAGAGGATCCATTCTCGATAGTGAGGTATACATAAAATATTTTTGAATCAATGAAATGATGTATTTAACTAATTATAAAAATAATCATTCGATTATTTATTTGTAGCAAGATGAAGAGAATGATGTTCCAAACCCATTATTCTTCCTTGTATATGTTGAAACTCGACGCACTTTGAGACTTGAGAGGGAATGACTATAAACAAAAAGTATTTTCGTTTATTCATTTCTATTAATACATTCAGAATATCAAATTAAAACATATAGATAATAATAAAATGTATGATACGGCTTTCTTTTATGGGAAAAATGCGTATCATTTTAAAGGATGTAAAGTTGTGTCATTTTAAGTGAGAGAAAGAGATAGATAAAGGAGAAGAGAAAGAGATAGATAAAGGAGGAGAGAGAGTGGACAAAAAAAATATAAAGATGTGAATCTCACCTCTTTATGAGAGTGAAATGATATAAGTTGCGTCATTTAAAAGGACAAATATTTTCCCTTTCTTTTATCCGTAGATGTATCGGTCGAACTCGAATCAATAACATTTCAGTTTCTTTGATCTTCATCTCTAAACGAAAGAA